AGAAAGCAGCGAGTGCAGCAGTGGAGGGGAGGTTTGTGCAGAGCAGCTGCCACAGAGCTGTGCCCATCCCAGAGATGCTGCACAGATGTGCCCATTTCAGCTGTCCAGTGTAAAACAGAATGATGGATTTGGGATCCCAGGGAGAGAGATGTGTGGGCATAATGCTGCTGTTGTTGGAGGAGGAGCTGATGGAAAGGCACGTGCTGTATTGAGGGAATAGTTTGGACTTTTGGGTGGTGGAGGGACAAAAGGATCAACTTCTAACCTTGAAATACCATCTCCCCCTCAGGCACCATGAAGTTTCTGTAGTGGTGTATGAATCTATACATTCATAAACCACTGAGTGGCTAAATGAGATCCTCAGATCCTTCTGGAAAGCTTTTCCTCCGAGGAGGAGGTGTTTGGGTGCTCTGACTTGCTTCACCTGACTATTCCCTTCCTCCACCCCATGCTCCTGCACTCCCCCAGGAATCCTGTCACAGCATCAACACCTTCAACCAGTGTCACAGCATCTAAGGTTTAGAAAAAATACCTTTTTTTAAAATTAATTTGGTATTCCTGTTTTTATTTCTCTTCAGAGGAACCTCTGGCTCAGCTGTTGTGCGAAGGACATCACAAAGTCATCCCTGTCTCAGTTAGACCCACAGTCAGAGGGCTGTCAAATTGACAGTCCTGTTTAGGGCAAGAGGGATAGTGGATGTAAACTATTTAATTGTGTCTAAAATACATGGAGGAAGAAGGAAGTTTCCTGCTTTGGAGGGCAGCATTACAGCTGGGCCAAAGCAGAGAATAGTTTTGCCCATGTCCATCAGCATGTTTGCCTTTTTCATGTCCTCTTCTTGTAACTGTTAAGCCTCCAGTTCACTGAGAATGCAGTAATTTTACTTTGAATAATGGATAGAAACAGGCAAATATTTTTCTAGGTTCCTGTTTAGGCGATCATTGTTTTGGATCCTGAGAGTGAATGTAGATCATGAGGGCATTTTTTTAAAGCAGGGGAACAAATGCTTCTTATTTTGTCCTTGGATAAGAACGTAATTAAAAGGAACCAGGGGAAACAATCATTTTATGTATAAGCTATTCCAGAATTTTCCATTTGAGGTGGTTCACATCTTTATGTGGAACACCCAGTTTAACTGCTTGTAAGGAGAAGCAGCTGCTGGCCTGATCTGGTGTGTGACCTGATGATGATGCTTTTCTGAGTGCAGTGGTGCAAGTTCAGGGTGCTTTTTTTCAGGCAGTGCTGTGGAAGAAAGATGCAATCCAGCTGAGCTGAAGAGAGCATCAAAAATGTTGCATTTTCTCATAGTTACACTTTTGGTTTTGCCCCTTTTGCACCTGCTATTTGTGCATCTCCTTTACTCCTTCCAGACTGAAAATATCTGTGAGGACAGACGGTCACTAATACTTGGGATAAAATTATCATTCTTTTCAAGTGTCTGTCTAAAGAGGAAAAGAAAGGAGAGACTCGTTTGAAGAAACATTGACAGCAGTAGGCAGCTATGCAAATTTTCCCTGGTCTATTTAAACATACACATTGGTTTTAAATATAATTCTGAACTTGTCTAGTCTACAACAAGGTCAAGAAAGAGAGAAATGTACCCTGTGCAGATTATTTCAGACACAAGGCAGCCTGTGTGCATTTTCACCTTCCCACTCATAACCCAGCATCTTGCTGTTGCTGTGTTTTTAGTTCTCTTGGGTTGTAAATAGGAAACAAAAGAACTTGGTACTTTTTTTCACACTATTGCAGATGAGTAGATTGGAGCAGGTAAAATAATGCTGGACTTGGTGCTGAGTTGGAGAAAAAAGTCATTTTAGTGTATTCTGTGCTTCCAGTGTCCAGAATCATGGGCTTCACAGGGCTGAAAGAAATGTGATAATGTGAATTCTCTAAATGAGGCTGGAAGGGTTTTGCAGAAGGTCTGCTCTGGCACAAAGCAAAGCTTTGGTCTTGGTGGAGAAAGGAGACAATGAAATGGTTTGTCCTGTGAAAAGAAGAGGTCACAGCAGATGAGCAGAGTGGTAACTTTGAATGCTAAAATGTGTGGCTTCTTTCTTTCACATGATATTGATGATTTCATGTGGTGGTAAAGAAGGATTGAAAAAAATGATAGTTTTTCCTTTCTTTTTATTTTTACAGCTAAAGGGTTGGTGTTTTCTGGTGTGCAGCTTATTGCTCCATCATCCTTAACTTCCCCAGGAATTCTGCATTTGTGGTTAATGCAGGACAGATGCTTTTCTTACCTAGAAAAGTGACAAGGGATTTCTCACCAGTTCTGCTTTTATAAGAGAGACATTTAAAACCCTGTATTTTTGAGAGGGATCTCTCAGCCTGCAAAGCCCCATGACACAGGATTTCTAGAGGGTACATGAAGCCATCTCCTGTCATTGCCAGCCTCTGACTCTTCTCCAGATCCTCCTCACTGCAGTAATTGACCACACCAGTGAGCAGGAGATGGGAGGGATCTCCCTCCTGGACCTGCTGGCAGTTCTGTGTCTCACCCAGCCAAGGATTTCCACCATGGACACATTCAGCTCAGTCCTCTGGGAATCCCCACACCATTTTCTGCCAAACCACTTCCCAGCATGTATTGTCCATGGGGTTGTACCTCCTTAGGTACAGGGCTTTTACCTCTCCCTGCTGGACATCCCCATGTCCCTGTCAGGAGCTGGAGTAGTGACAACACTGGGATGTGAGAAATGAGAGTAATTTGGGCTGCACCCAGCAGTTTGTCTGTGGTGGTTTTGTGTTTGCTGAGCACTTTTCCATCACTCTTGTATCAGCTGTGAGGCAGGATGGCAAAATAAAAGTTGGGGACTGGCCCATATTTGTCCTTCTGGACCACAGGGAAATATTTTTCCAGGGGAAGAGGACCATGACTGAGTACATGAGTGTGTGAGTACCTGCCCAGGATTGGAAGTGAGTGAGGACTCCTGGAGAAGAGCTGCTCTTTTTCCCTGGTTCTTGCTGTGTGTTTGCAGTGACCCAAAATAAATCACCTGCATGCAATGTGGCCTCCAGCAATTACTAGAAATGCTGGGGCAGAGCTGTCACAATGCTGTTCCCAGGCTCACTTGGTCTTTGAAATTGCTGGTTTAGAAAAATAAAGAACAGTTCTGACTTCTGTCTTAAAGCTTCTGCAGTTTTAGAGACAATTAGGAGAAGGAAAAGTGCAAGGATTTTTAAATAGAAATTAATAGTTCACAGATCACTGTATTCTGCCTTGACCTTGTTAAATAGAGAAAGTGCATATTCCTAATTGAATATCCCTGTAAGCTCCAGAAGCATGAGACATATCCAAAGCTCACATTTAAAGTTTACATTTGAAAAGTTAATAAAATGCTTCTATTTTTTACCTTTTCCCAGTGAATTTTTTATGTGCATTTTTGAGGTCATGTATAAATAGCCTGACACAAATGTTTGTGCAGTGCTGGTGGCATGTCATGATATTTTAAGCTGTTCTGATTGTGAAATGATGAACAATGGATTTACATTTGTGTGAATGTGATATGTATGTGGTAAATGGCAAAGTCAAGTTTGTACATAATTTTTTTCTTGAAGTTTTACTGTCTTTTCTGTTCCCTGCTTGCTATTTCATCTCCCTCAGGGCTTCCCTTAACATTCCAAATCCCTGACTTGGAATTTAAAGGCATTTAAAATATAAACCATTTTAAAATAAGCCTAGCACTGGCACAGGTTGCCCAGAGCAGCTCTGGGTGCCCCATCCCTGGGAGTGTTCAGGCCCAGGTTGGATGGGCTTGGAGCAATCTGGTCTGGTAGAAGATGTCCCTATCCATGGCAGGAGGTTGGAATGAGAGGATCTTTAAGGTCTCTTCCAACCCAAACCATTTTGTGATTCTGTGATGATTCTAATGTAGAAATGCTATGTTCCCTTTCTCAGATACTAATATTTTCCCTAATTTTCAGCATTCAAATTAAATGAAAGTGAAACCTTCTCCTGAACTCCTTTCCTGTCTATAATTGATATTTTATCCACAACTCTCTGATAAAACAATGACATTATACCTGGCTAAACTGAATGTTCAGCATCTCCTTCCATATCCTTGGGAATATGTTTCCTTCCTAAAGATACTTGGATTTTCAATTTTCCTGCTCAATACTGAGGTGCTACACTGCTGAAAATCCTGCTGTTGTCTTTGCTGCACCCATCTACCCCATCCACTGATGCATCCACACCATCACAAACACTGGGGTGTTTTTCCAGCAGGAATGACTTACTGACATGTCCCTGGGCTGGTGCTGCTGTCAGTGACAAACTGCTCCTTGCCAGGTGCTGCAGGAAAATGTTCCTCAGGGGCAGCTCAGTGTGTGGGTCGCAGGCTACAATTAAAGCAGATGTTTATCATTAGTATAATAGCTATATTTATTTCTTAATGCCATTTGAAATCAAGTTCTTAATCTGAATTCAAATGCTTAATTGTATTTTTTCTTCTAGTTTGAAGCATTGCTACTGGTGCAGTCTTTTTAATTTTTTCCAGTTTATTTTTGTCCCTGAAGTCTAGCTGGGGCAAAAGACCAGTAAAGACTTAAGATCAGACTTCTGGGGCTGCTCCAGTGGTCCTGAATCAGCAGGAGCCTTTCTGTAGCTGGGAAGGATTTTTCGTCAGCAGGATTTGCAGGCTTGGGAAGCTTTTGCCTGAACTTCAGTGGCTTAGAATTAGATTTCAGCAGCAGAGAATGTCCCCAGAAGGCTGAAAACGGGATGTCATCCCTCTAACACAACGTCTCCAGAAGGCAGAGGAGAGAATGTTTTGATTCCTTTCACATTTACCTGTGCTGCCTTGAAGAAGCAGCATTTTCCCTCTTTTGCAAGCTCTTTAAGCACGGAGCCTTAAGCCGCTCTGTGCGGCAATTTAGAGAAACCATTCATGTCTGAGACTGAACATCGCTAAGCAGAAAGGATCCTTACTAGCATTGGATGATGCCTGGGTAGTTCTGATGTGATTTCTGACACGGTTCCCTTCTTTCCCTGCAGGCTGGACCAAGTTTGCCCGGCTGACGCGGGCGCTGACCAACAGCCGCAGCGTGCTGCAGCAGCTGACGCCCATGAACAAGGCTGAGGTGGTGCACAAGCACTCCCGCCTGGCCGAAGTAAGTGCCTGTCCTGGGTTGACAAGATGATGCTTTTATCTCCCATCATCTTGTTCTGAATAATAAGTTTTGCACCTTTAGGACTTGTTCCAGAGTGTGAAGGGGGGAGAGAAGAAGCTGCAGTTTGTTTTCCGACACCGCACTCACTCCTCCACTTCCCTCCTCCTGGACTGTGTTTGCGGATGGACAGACAGCAGGACAGAGCTCTTCTTTGTTTTAGTTAGTTTAGCTAGCTGAGGCAAAGAAGTTCCCTGGACTGTGGGTTTTTTCCTTTTTCTTTGGGCCTGTTCAAACCTGCTCTGGCCTGAACACTCAGCAGAGCACCGGTAGCTCCACCTGAGGCCCACCAGGCCGGGCCTGGGCCGCGACATTTCCAGCACCAAGAGTCTGAGTGAGCTGAATTGCAGCCTGGGGAGGGACTTTCTCAGTTTGTCATCTCTTTTGGAGCAGCAACGGGTTTTATTGTTTAATATTGTTTAGATTTTATTGTTTAATAAACAGGGTTTTTTCCACTTTTCTCCAAGGAGGTATTTTTCTCCCGGACCGTTGTGGGGAGGGAGAAAAATTGATTGAATCTGCTTTCCTAGAGGGGCCCCTTTGGGGGTTCTCTCCAAAATTTGCTCTGAACCAGGACAGTGGGGTGGACGCCAGCCTGCTCCCTTCCTGGGGAGGTGGGGGAAAGAAAATCCACCCTAATTCCCATTTGGAAAGGATTTTCTTAGAGGAAAATATTTCCTGACTCTGATTTTTTCAGCCTCGCCTCTACTCGTCGTAAAGCAGCTCCACGTGGCAAGCTCACGTGTTTAGGACAGGTCATAAAACACTTTCACTTAAATGACACTATTTCTGTGCACACAGTCCTCAGCTTCCTGGGTGTTCCTTAACTTGGGGTGCAGAGTGTGCTTCTCTGCTGTGCTGTCTCACAGGGACATGGAACCAGGTTTGATGTCCTTGAATCTCTCTCCGAGGAAAATGGGATTGTTTGAGAAACCTCTTGGAAGCATCCCTGTCTAGGTCCCCATGGCCTGCATATAATACCCTGATCTTGACTTTCCTGCAAAGCCATTGCTACAATATTTCCCCCATCACTTTTATCTTCAGAACTGATGAAATGAACTCTTTGGCAGGTTGCAAATATCTCCTTAACAGTGCAGGTGGTGCAACAAGTGAATACCTTCAGGTTAACTTATGAAACAGAGATACTGCCTTCACCTTCATGTCCACTGGTAATGAAAAATAAATTGGTCAAAAATACAGGATCAAAATATATGAGCTACTGAAAAAGACAGCCCTTGTGCCAGAGAACTTATCCTGGCAAGTGGCTGTGGAGACCACTGAACTATAATGATTTCTATGATTATTTCTATCATGCTGCATGTAAATCACCAAAGAATACACAATATCTTGTTAGTCAGCTGCATTCACCACAGACTGTCTGAATTATTTCTGTGTACAGCTAATAAAAATGACTGGTAACTGTTAAGTCTGATAAGGTGAGCAGCACATTCTGCAAGGGATGAGCTGTGAAGATAATGCTCCTCCTCAGATACAGAAATATGGAAAATGGGGCCTGTGCAGCAACGGTGAACCCCCCCTCAGTCTGCCTTCCTCACAGCACTTTGTCTACAACGCACTTTCCAGCCATAAAGTACTTTTAAGAGAGGAGTTTGCACACCCTGCAAGCAACTAGTCCTAAGTACAGCGTCATCCCAGCTATTCCTGAGCACATCTACTTCCTTACTTGAGGTTCTGCTTGAGGTAGAACTGATAGCAGCTTTAAATGTTTGATTTTTTTGTTTTCATTACCTTTCCGGTTTTATCAAAGTGAACTTTGATAATAAAAATCTCAAATTATCGTGATGAAAACCCACAATTTTCAGGTGTTGGCAGCGTGGCGTTTTCCCTTGAATGGTCCCATACCAATAGCTTGGATAAATGATAGATTATTGACACCTCATGCTTTTCAAAATCATGATGGTTCATTGTCCTGTAAATCCAGTTACAGCCATTCTTGGAAATTGTTCACCAGGACCACTATAGCTAGAGGAAAAAAAAATGGCAAGGGAGATTTAAATCAGGGAGCAGCAAAACCTCAAGTAAGGGAGTAGGTGTGCTCAGGAATAGCTGGGATGAGGTTGTACTCAGGAGAAGTTGCTTGCATAGTATGCAGACTCCTCTCTTAAAAGTACTTTATGGCTGGAAAGTGATTTGTAGGCAAAGTGCTGTGAGGAAGGCAGACTGAGGGGGGGTTCACTGTTGCTATACAGGTCCCATTTTCCATATTTCTGTATCTGAGGAGGAGCATTGTCTTCACAGCTCATCCCTTGCAGAATGTGCTGCTCACCTTATCAGACTTAACAGTTACCAGTCATTTTTATTAGCTGTACACAGAAATAATTCAGACAGTCTGTGGTGAATGCAGCTGACTAACAAGATATTGTGTATTCTTTGGTGATTAAAATCCATGCAGCATGAAAGAAATAATCATTATAGTTCAGTGGTCTCCACAGCCACTTGCCACCCACTCACCATGTCAAACTCAGCATGAGATTATGTTAAGAATAATAATTATGCTTTTACAGTATCGTGGGAGCTCCCAAGCACTCCACCACCAGAGGCACAGGGAACTATCAAGCATATGTTAATCACATTCTGCTTGAGCCCTAAGTAGTTTATTTTTCCAGCTCTAGTGTGGACATTTCCAGCTCCTGCCCCAGTGAACAAGGCAAGGAACAAACAGGCCTGAAGAAACCAGGGCAAGAAGTCCCAGAGCTGATTTATCAGCAAAGTGTTGGGCACTGATGTGTCCCAAGAGATATCTGGAGATAACAACCTGGAGTTTGATATTTTATATGTCTCACCAGGGGTTTGGCATCTGTGCTTGTCTCTGGCAAGTGCCATTGGTACCACACCACTCCACAGAGGGCTCTGGGTTACACTGGGGCTGGTGTGACATGAGGATGTTGGCAAAGGGAGCAGCCACAGACTCCTGGAGGTCTCTGCTGCTCTCCCACTGCTGCCTGTGTACTGGTCCAGTGCCTTTCTGGCCATGGGATAATTCTGTGCAATTCTGCTGACCCTGTAGAAAAGAAATAGCTAATTAATGGAACAAGTTAGTTTTTCATTGTGTCAGCTCCACTGACTTTCCCTACAGATCCTGATTTCTCAATATGGGCTGAGGGAGGGTGGGAGCAGGTAGGCAGGAGCAGGTTTGCATCCCTTCAGCCTGACACTGGCCAGGATTCTACATCTTGGGAAGGCACATTCCCCATCACAGAATGAGGAAGGCTGCTGTCGTTGTCCCTTGGTGTTTCCTGGAGAACAGATTTTCAGCAGAGCCAGACTTTTACTGTCTGATCTCAGCAATAGCTTTCTCTTAAAAACACCTTAAAGACAAGACTGCAAAGAATTAATGGAGAATCCCTATCTGTGGTGCTTGAGTTCATATTCTTAGTTATTATACAGTTTATTCAGAGCCATTTACTCCTCTCCATTGAGGAAGGAAGGATCCTGTATTTCATCAGCTTCACACATCTGAGGCTGCTGTTTTCAATCCTGGAAATATGGTGCATCATTCAGTATGGGGCAGCTGTTAGGCTGGAATGAGTTTTAAAGTTGCTGTAATTACTTATTTTATCCCATACAGACTTCAGATCCCCTGATGGATCCCCAAATGGATCTTTCAGTTGTCAGTGCAATAAATTACCATGTGTGTGTTCCTTTGTGCTTTTGTCTCTTGTGTTGGGCTGAGATAAGAGGTAATTAGATTAGCTGGGAATGCCTTAAGTGAATTTGGCTTGGTTTTTGCAGTGTTTCCAGTTCCACAATTTTACAGCAGTGAGCATGCAGGAGATTATAGTCCTATGCAGAAAAAATGAGAAGTAATTACAGGAAATAAAGGAGAACCCACTAGTGATACTGAGCTTGTGGGAGCAACAACTTTTTGAAGAAAATACGAAGGAACTGTGATATTGGCAGGGTTTTAGGCGGAGGTTGTGCACATGATGCCTCATTTTAGGAGGTCAGCCAGCAAGGCTGGGGTCACCTTTGATAGGGTGTTGCTCTGGCTCAGGAGTGATTTAAAAAAGAGATCAGGCACAAAGAATTAGTCTTGTAACTATTACAAATCTGAATGAGTGTTCATGTTTAGATTATGTATTAGGAAGAAGCTCCTTTTTCTGAGGCTGGTGAGGCATGGGAGCAGGTTGCCAGAGAAGCTGAGGCTGGCCCATCCCTGAAAGTGCTCAAGGCCAGGTTGTGTAGGGCTTGGAACAACCTGATGTAGTGGAAGATTCCCTGCCCATAGCAGGAGGGCTGGAGATAGATCATCCTTTTGGTCCCTTCCAAACCTAAATCATTCTATGATTTTATGTTCATAACTGCAAAGCATCTGCTGGTGTGGCAGTACCCAAAACCTCTGTATGGAGCCTCTCTTCCCTTGCTGTTGGCATGGTTTCCCCTCAGTCCATCTGCAAAGACCTTCCTTTTTGCAGGAACATCCTGAGGTGCCATGCTGCTCCCATTCATTGAGTGATAGCTGCCTCTACACGTCCTAAATAAATCAGATTATTTAGAAAATGTGGGTTGCCTTGCAATGTTCAAAGAGCACAGTCCTGTCTCTGCTGTTCCTCACAGAAGCCTGTAGGACCCATCACTGGATCCTGTTCACTGAAAACTGTAACATTTGTCTCTCTGCCTCCTACAGGTTCTCCAGCTGGGATCTGATATTCTTCCTCAGTACAAGCAAGAAGCTCCAAAGACTCCACCACACATTATACTCCACTATTGTGCTTTCAAAACCACCTGGGACTGGGTCATCCTAATTCTAACCTTCTACACAGCAATCATGGTTCCATATAACGTGTCCTTCAAGACAAAGCAGAACAACATTGCCTGGCTGGTGCTGGACAGCGTGGTGGACGTTATTTTTCTGGTGGACATTGTTTTGAACTTTCACACCACCTTTGTTGGCCCTGGGGGAGAGGTTATATCTGATCCCAAGCTCATAAGGATGAACTACCTGAAGACGTGGTTTGTGATTGATCTTCTGTCCTGTTTACCATATGACATCATCAATGCCTTTGAGAATGTGGATGAGGTGAGTGGCTGTAGTCTGTCTCAAAGGGGTTGTTTGAACTAAAGGTTCATTTAGAAGCTTCTTCCCTGGTGCTTTGTGTAGGCTGACCTAGAGCAGAGACTAGACAGAGTTAAAGTAGGGATTTATTAAAAGGGCTCAATGGATCCACCTTGGGCAGCACAAGAGCCCAACCAGGGCTACACCCAAGATGAACTAAAATGGTCACAGAATGTGCAATCAGTCAGGAGGTCTCATACTTTTATAAGTTCTGGTTCATTTGCATGTTGGAGTTAATTGTCCAGTTATAGCTCCAGCTATAACTGAATTCCCATCCTTCTTGTTTTTCTCTCTTCAGTCCAATGTTGTTTATGCTTTTGGGCCTGAGACTTGGATAATTTGTCCTTGGTCCCCAGCTAGAGAAGGACTTGTTTTGTCTCCCTACTCTGTGCAGAGAGCTCACCATCCCTTAATATATCTCAGAACTACACACTAAAGCAGCACAGAATCTGAAAAATAGAAAAGCTAAAACCTGAGGCGTCACCCAGTGAGGCAGCTCAAGTTCTGTGCAAATATAGGGGGTTGGCCTTGAGCTGCTGGGATTTACCGGCAAGATGCTCCTGTGTTGGTGGAGAGGTGTCTTAGGGTTCCAGTACCATGTGTGGATGTTTATTTTAGAGATGGGGGTTTTAGAGTTGCTTGAGTGTCATCCAAAAGCATTGGTGCAAATCCCTGTCAGAGTGGGCTGGGCCAGTTGGGATGTCCCCTGTCACAGCCTCCCTTTTCAGCTCGGCCTTTGGGCAGCTCTGACCCATTGCAGGCCTTGATTACGGTTCTGTTATTGCTCTGGCTGAAGCTGGTGACAAATTTGCCACTTATATGAAAGCAGGGAATGGCTCTGAATAAGCATTTTTTAAAATCCTGCCCTAGGACTACCTTTAGAACCAGGCTGTAATTTTTTTAATACCATTTTAAATGTTTGATTGAGAGAGAGATTTATTTCCATTTTTTTTGTACAATTATTCAACTACGGCTAAAATTTGAGAAACTGTTTGAGGAGAGAGAACATAAATATCAAAGATGGATGCTGAATGAAAGCTTGTTAACTGTAAGAGTGTTAACATTTATGCAGTTGAGCTTGCAGCCTAAGCTAATACAGAAAACAAGCAATAACTACAACAAATAATGCATGCACGAGTCAGTGTACAGAAATTCATTATTAAAATGGAACTGTAATGGCTTTAGGACTTGTTTTAATTTTTCTCTAGAGCATTTTATCTTCAGGGCCATAAACAGATGAAAAAGCCTCTGTTCATTTTTGAACATTTTAGCAGTTTTTTCTTAGAACACCGTTTAGTGGGGTTTTTTGTTTGTTAGTTTTTTAATTCTCAATTCTGCACTTATATATCCTCACTATACGAAACCTACATTCTTTTTTTTTTTTTAATGCAGGTTTTACTGCAAATTTTGTAGAGCTCCTTTAAAATTCCATCCCTGCCTCTGCGTGCTGAGTAGCATCTTTTGACATTGTTCCATTTTATTTATAGCAAATATGACAGAAGTGATAATACTTGCAGCTTAAATTCAAGATCCTATGAGGGCTGCCCATCTGAAACCAGGTTGTACAGTCAGGCTGTGTAAGAAGGTGATATTAGCAAGGCTGTAGATGTAATACATCTTTTAAAAGTAACCAGTTTCAGACTCAGAGGAGCCTGATTTTTGTAAAACATGCAGCATTATCTCCAGATTTTTGAGCTTTAATATGTAAAACAAACAGAAAATTTCTGTGCCCAAGCAGGACAAATTTAAAGGATGAGGTTAACCTCTTTCTCTAACATATGCATGGGAAATAAACCACCTACAATATTTGTGTCAGGGAAGAGAATCTTGACAGAGCATTATAATTGAGACACACCTAAAGTGACAAACTTTAATCAAAATGTAATAACCATAGCAAGGTATCATGAACTCCAGTGATCCTAGAGCAGCTGTCATTTGCTTTCAAACAAATGAAACATTAACTCCTTTTTAATAAAGGAGACAACACTAAGATTCCCTTGTCATGAAGCAATGTGTTATGGCTCTGGAGCCTCCAGCAGGTTTATATTTACTTGATTTCCCTCCCCTCCATCTCCAGCTTTCCCTAGTGTCTGAAAAGAAATTGAAGTGATTTTGAAAACAGGTATGTAAACAGTCAGCCTTTCCTCCCTGGGTCTACATTTTCTCTTTTCCCTGTCCTTCAGGGGAGATCTTGTTATTTTTTGTGATATGTCTTCATTTGTGACATTTAAGTCTTTTGAGCTGGTTGGTGTGTTCTGGGTGGTTGCAGTTATTAATTCTCTTTATCATAATTTGGTTTTTAACTTTTATTTTAACTGGTGCTTCTTGCCTGGAATTTAACTTTTTGGCCCCCCAGCAGCAGGGTGTTCAAACACTGTTCATAGGTAAAGAATACAGAAATCCATAATCTTAATTTGGGAGAGATACTCTGAATAAAATCAATGTTTCTTGTTAGAAAATGGGTGTTTCCTTTTTAAGGTAAGCAGGAGAGAGAAGAGTTCTTTTAGCAAAGGTTTTAGCTCTTTGTTTTGGCCTTGGATGTTGGATAAAAGTCTTAAAGTTGATGATTGTGGCATTTCAGATAAAGTTGCAGTAAATGAGCTTAGCAATAATGACCTTGGGTGCAGGTCCTGGTGCTCTTTGAATTCTTGGTGTGTTGGTGAGGGATGGACCCAAATCAGAGTGAACAGCCCTAAAAGCCAGCTGAGTGAAAGGTGACTTCCCAAACTTCCCTTGTTTTTCCCACATCTGACCCTTGTAGTCCCACATAAAGCATTAAATGCTTTTTTGCTAGTTGTTAAGGAGCTGGATGAGAAGGGAGAACACCATTGGAGGGGGTTTCTTTTCCTCCCTGGGGGCAGATCTCTCACTCATGAAGAAGGATATGGCCAAGGAGGTTTGGGATTTTGTCTCTCTGTTGTATCCATAGACTGCTCTATGTGATACAGGTGCTTGAGGTGAACTGAGATGCCTTAAGCACTAGAGTGCTATTTATAATGCCAAAATTAAGGAGGAGATAAATTGAAAGATTAAAAAAATAAGGTTGAAAGAAGGAAATGTGTGTTTTCTTACCAAGGGTTTGAGTCCTTCAAATGTATCCAGGGTAGGATCTGTGTCATTTCCCTCACAGACAACTTTAGGTGAAGGCTGGAGTTCCCACCTGAGGCAAGCATGACTGCAAATCAAAGTTATTTTGTTGCTGAGTACATGTAGAGCCTTGGTAGAAGGATTTGATGGAGAGGATTATGACACACAAATTGAGAGCTGGGGGGGATTAAGATGATTTGAGGCAGAATTAGAGGTGTTGGTAACTCCAAACCTGGAGTTACAGAGCCAGGCTGTTGGAGTCTGCTCAGGGGGATTGGGATGTGTGAGAGGGAGGGGGAAAGGGAACATAATGAGAAACACCTTGTTGGCATTTAAGATGATGTGATGGATGAGGAATTAAGTGGCTAAGTGGTATTGAAAGGGCAGGAAAACAAGGTAAAATAGGCTGGAGAAAAATGAACTAATGGAGAATCCTTAGTGGGATATTTGATTTAGGAAACTTGCTAGGATGATAGTCCCAGACCCAGAAAATCAGAAAAATGCATATCTTTTCTAATTGGGCAGCATATCCTGCACTGATATACATTCTGGCTAAACCAAAACCTTACAGAAAACCTTTCCTATACAGAAGTGAGACAGGGGACAGCATAGTGGGGAATCTAAGCAGTTTTCAAGCAACAAACCAGAACAGAGTATCTGTGCTCAGAGTCTCTGAAACATGGCTGAAATTTTTTTTCGTATGAGAGTTCTCAAAAACTTCAGATTTAGTCTAAAAGTGTCTGTGTGTCTCTTCTTTAACATAATGCGAAACAATAACAACAACAACAACAACAACAAACCCACTAAACTTTAGATTAAAGGAGAATGTGGTGTTTGGATCCAAAGGTTTTGGTCCCATGAAGTTCCTGTAGGTATTAGGATGTGAAGTGTGTAGAGACTGGAAATTGGATTTTTGTCTTGAAGTTCCATGTTGAAGCTTGCAGTGATTCTAATTTTTTTTTTCCGTGAGTAATGAGCTGCATGTAACAACTCTTCCACTGCTGTATGCCCCAGTTGATAAAATTTATAAAATCACAATTCCCTGCTTTTGAAGCTGGAGAATTATGTTACCTTGAGATACAGCCTTTTTATGTATTCTGCCTATTAGAGAGAGAAATATCCAACCTCTCTCAGTCTGGGCTACCAAAAAATGTTTGTAAACATTTTTTCCATACAAGTCAGAATTATCAGCCCTATATTGTGATGAAAATGTCAGCAAATTTGCAGGTGCCCAAGGATTCTGATCAGGTATGGTCAAACCATGCTAAAATCTCCCTTTGGGACCAAATACATTGATTGGCATCCCAGGACACCAGGAATGTTGGGCAGGTGTTTGGATCTTGTCTTCACATGCATTTGAGCCTCTACAAATAAGTATTTTGAGTAAATATTCCCCAAACTAGATGGATGGACAAGCTTTTGGCCAAATGTAAAATTCTTCCACAAATTAAGGGTTGAATTCAGCTGAAAAAGCTTCTTACTATTTTGAAAAATATGATTTTTTTTCTGGGAATTTTAACTGAGATTCATGAATTTCTGAGTTTGTCATGAAATAATATTTAGAAGCTAGATCTCCTCTGTGCCAGAAACATGGTTCTGAAATAACAGATCACGTACTGTGAAGAAAGGGATCCACAAAGTCAGGGAGGGATCCAGATGGTTTTCAGATGAGTTGTGTAAAAGATCATCCTTTTTGCAGAAATTAATTTTTGCAAGGCAATGGCTGGAAATGAGAGCAGAGAAATTTAAATGACCTAAACCAAAATTCTGTGCCTGTTGTTTAATAATGTAAGACTACATGACCCAGTGGCCTTTAAAATTTAGTGATCTATACAGGGCACATAAAGCACGGACTCCTTGTAATTGTAATTTTCTTT